GCCCGCGGCCAATGTTGCTTTTTGCGTGTTATCGGACATGTTCCGAGATGCCGATTCAGAGGTCAAGGATAGGAAAGGAGAGCCAGTCGAGAAAGCACGAAAGAACCGTGAGAACAAAGTCGATCTAATTGCTGATGGAGCAAATGCCATCAACCAGGCGGAATGCGTACTCGGATAATCAGGGAGTCGGACCTTTGGAAATAGTAAAATTTCTGAGGGAGCGGCAAAGGCGGAATGTTGCGATTGCGGGGGGTGATGATGATTCAGATGAGGAGAAAAGGCGGGCTTCCTTCCACTAGATATTGGACTTTTGTGAGACGAGAAACTTACGGAGATATAAGGAGGTAATTAACGTCTTTATAGAAAGTCTACCTAATTAGAACCCACCATGGCTTCGTCGACGCTTAACTGGCGTCATTTGGTGCGATGACATAATCGAGCTTAGGCTCTCCGCACGAGATTTGGGGTACAGGTTAGTTGTGATATGCGAGGGTACGGCGAACAAGAGCCACGGCAGGAAGAGCGACACAACTTCTCGGAGTTCTCTCAATCTCTCGAATCACGAATTTCGCACATATCGTACAAAGAAGAGTTATCAACATTGAAAAACAAACAAGTTTACATCCCGTGTTCCCATTTTCTCTCTGTGGGATGGGCTTATCCTCGGCCATGCATTGGTATGTTGGGGAAAAAAAGGCAAGATTCCATGTAAAGATGATTTGAACATTGAAGAAGAAGAGGAAACGAAGAAAAAAAGGAACAAGGACAATGGTATCTGTCTTTCTGAACGCCGTCCCAAATACTCCATATCGCAAGCAAGTAACCAATATAAGTCAACAATCAACGACTACCTCCAGCCTGCTCCAGAGCTAGGGTAGAGAGTCTCCGGGGGCCGCTCGATGCTTGGAGCGGCCATAGTACTAAGTCTTATAGCGTCTCTGCTTGTAAGACTGATATCTCGGGGCCGGATGTCACCTCCGAATGTGGTTCTTCTATGGCTCGTGCTTTTCATGATTGGAAGAGTTCGAGGGCTCAAAACCCTAGGCTTGGGATCAAGCTCTTTCTCACTTTTGACCATCCGTCTGGCCTGCGAAGCGGTAAACATTGTGTTTTCGCTTGGAGAGCTTCCATAGGTTGCAGCTGTCGGGCTGCGTCGGCGGTGGATGCGGAGAGAGTTGGTAGAGGCAGCAGAGCCAAATTGTCCACCAGAAATTCGTCTCATCGCTGAAGTGATTTTAATAGCATCATCCTTGCTAGCCTTCCAGCTGTCCCTACTGTCGGACAGTGGGCTGCTGGAGTAGCTTCCGCTGGATGTTCGGACTGCGATTCGCGACGGACGGTCGATAGAGCTGCGATTCAAGAAACTGCTGTTCTCAATATCTCGCAAAGGGGAATTGTCATTGTCAGATAATGGGAGAGTGGAGGTTGGAGGCGGGCCCACAGGCGAGCTGCCGGGCTTCTTTGACAGGAATCCCGCTTTAAAACGATTGTTCTTTTGAACGTGCAGCGTTGGTTCATTGGAAGGAGACGGGATCGGAGAAGAGCCGAAGGGGCTGATGTTTCGGCTGGGCACAGGGATTCCGCGTGGAATCGGAGAGGCTCGGGGCAGTTGGGGCTCCTCACTGGGAGCTTCTTCAGGGATAGTCTCAGTACCTGGTTTTTGAGGGGTCTTTTGATACTCCGTCAAGGCACCTTCTTGCTCGTCATCCTTCCAGCGGACACTCCTCTTCACTGTTTTTGCCTGTGTCTTCTTCGGCGAGAAACTGACACTCTTCCTTCCGGCACCCACCTTACGTCGTCGTGGAGATCCCTTCGTTGGTGATGCCGGGGCAGCGGGAGCAAACGTTATTGGTGCCCCCAAGCCTTTCACAGTGGGAAGATGAGCTACGCTCGATCTCCTCTTCTGCTTCGGAGAGCTATACTTCAATGGACTGAGTGGTTGAGCAGGCAGTAGTGTGCCGTCCGGTTTTACGACATTGGTGGCGACGTTAGCTGACGAGTTGAGCATCTTCAGAAGAATCTTCTTGCCCATTTCAACAGCGTCCTCCTCGCTCAGGTGCATTATCTGCTCGATGGAGGCAATAATCTCAAATTGAGCTTGGAGAAGAACTTGAATTGTCGCCGCCTCCCCTGCCTTGTCTTGGTCGGCCACAGCGGACAATGCCTCTCGCTCCGCATTTGACCGGAGGAGCTCTGCCTCCCGATCGAAATTGGCAAAGTCGCTATTGTCGCTAATCTCAAAGTCTCGGAGTTGACGAATAGCGTTCTCTACCGCAGAGTTCATAGCTCGATCCCAGTTATTCTTCGCCAGTCGCTGATGATAATGTTGCCTACTACCCTCCAGTTCGAGGAGAATACCTTGTGCCGTTTTTCGAATCGCTTGCAGATTGGATAAAGGTTCCTCGTTTTCAGAGTTTGCGCACACCGTATCGAAAGCAGCAATCCATGAAGACAACATGCCGATCCGGCGGCTTACCTGCTTCAATTTGATCATAGTATTGATCTTCTCTTGCCTTTCTGGCAAGGAGTGATCATATGCGTTGCGAATACGAGAGACACCTTCCCGTATAGCGGCGTCCTTCTTTTCGGTCTGCTTCTTGAACTTTGCGAAGGCCAGTTTTTCTGACTCCTTCTGCTGAGCTTTGAGCTCATTGATCAGATTCATTTGCTCATCAATCTTCACTAAGAAGTCTTTCACATGGCGGTTGACGTTGAATACGTTTCGCGTGACCTTAGTCTGTATATTTTTCGCCCGGTTTGCGTAGCGCAGCGTGTTTTGTGTCTCATCGAAATGTTGGCTAGATGGGCTAACACACACAATCATTACCGTCCTACAGTTGCCGCCCAGGGAGAATTTCAGAAGACGAGTCAGCTTCGAGTTTCGGTAAGGAACGTGATTGCGCTTTCGTGGGTCGCAGAGGGCGTTGATACAGCTGCCTAGCGCGAGAAGGGACTTGTTGATATTGGCTCCTTCCAGTAGCCGCTCGCCTCTGTTCTTAGTGGCACTAGCTCGCTCGCTCCCAGCAAGGTCAATGATGCTCAGCGTTGCCATAGTATGTGGTTCGTTGACATCCGCGTTGCGATCCTTCTGGGCGATATTGATCTGGAGAACTGCATGCGACCGAGAGGAAGTGGCGTTGGCTTCCGTTGGCGACATTGTTCGACATTCGTTGCCCCGCATGATCATGTCCATCACCTGTTGTACGTTCTGCGGATGGTGACTCGATAGCCCGGAGACAGAAACAGACTTATTCGTATCCTCACGGAGCATCAAGCCGCCTTTGCTGCCGCCAGGGACCAGAAGATCACGAATTGTTTCATTGTAAATTTCCAGGTATGATAGGGATACTTCGGTGTGCTTCTCTCCTGACCGCTCCTCGATTCGCTCGAACAACTCTTGCATGGTAAGGAAGATGATACCGGGCTGTTGTGCTGTGCCGGTGATTGTGTGCGTCTTTCCACACCCGGTGGCACCGTAAGCGAAAACAGTGGCATTGTAACCGTCAAGTACGCTGTCCAGGAGGGTTCGTGTAGTCGCTTCATACACCTCGCCCTGTGTGGCGTTTTGGTCAAAGATGCGGTCGAAGGCGAATGTCTGGTCCTTGACGCGTTTCCCGTTGGGCACAACGCTTCTGGAGAACTTCTGGACTGGATTGTCCTCCGGAGGATCGAAAACTCTTTGAGCACCGTCAGTTTTTCTTTGACTTAATAAACTGATCCGCATCTGCACTCACAAGCATCTGTCATCAATGACCTTGATAATGGATCGGATCCCCTTTTGATTGAGCTTGGGAGTTGGTGCTCCGGCCAGGGAGCCATCTCCTAGGAATAGGGGACCGTCTTCACATTTTGGAAGCTGTGCTGCCTCTCGGATTGTAAAAGGTCGGACTCGGACGGTGACTGTGATCGATGAGGAGCCGCCTTCGGCTGCCATGGCGCCTATATGTTAGCGTTCCTCCAGGTTGGGCTGGGGATTTGAAGTGAAAGACAGGAAACGAGTGAAGGGCGAATTTCGGGTATCTCGCGATGCCCTGCACCCTTCGGCCACGCGGAAGATTATGGAGAGGATGAGGTAAAAGGAAGTTATCAGTAGAAATAGAAGTCGAATGTCCACAGCTGAGGAATGTTGACAGTGGGCCTCATCGAAACTCTGATACCTCTCTAGACTGTTCCTGATTGAGTTATTCTCCAATGATTTGTCTTCACGTCAAGCTGTTGACTTTGGTTGTTTGTCCACGTTGCGTTGCTCCGAGCAACCATTAGCGGTGTCGATTAGCGTGATGGCGCGTGTGCTTAGCTACTCTGACCAGACCGTCCCCTAATTATGCAGAGAAACGTAATCATCACAACATCTGATCCTTATGGCCACAGACAACTCTATCATGATTGGCTTGATCATCACTATTAGAAGAGATTGGGGCGCCCACACTCGTCACTTTTGGAGATACCTTAAGAGGGGTACCATGAAATAGATAGTCACAGCCAAGGGCCTTCATTATTACTAGTTCAACATGGATCCTGCAATTTGCAGACCCCTTCTGGACTCATCTTGGCTCGCCCAGATTCGACGACGGTCGTTTTCGTGACTCGACCGTTCTCTGTCTTCACACAATCGCCTGGCGGGGACCAAGGACAGCAGCGATAACATATGATGATACGAGTGCGTAAACCCTGGTTATGAGAGAGTACTTTACTGTGGTGAGCCAGACCAAACGGCATCATTTTTGTCGCGGACTGAGAAAGGAGAGCATTCTGCATGCGATATGCGGTCGAAGAATGGAAATGCACAGAGCTGTGTTTTGAGGTATAACATTCATTCATTCATCATGTTGCAGTATCCGTTTTCTGGACGGTTCAAGTCCTTCATCAAATAAAAAGACCGACCCTGCCATCTTCTGGTACAAAGCATCGTACGAACCCCATACTGTAAACCCATATACCCAGCCGAGCGCCAAAAGCAAGAAGCACACGAAATGCAAGAGTCTCCACTGTTTTCCTGATTAACTGGGCTCTCCCTCCTCGTCATCAAGGCTTGGAACGACGACGTCCCAGCCAGGATCCTCCAACTCGAGGTCAATGTCGAGGTCGCCATCTCTCTCCTGCTCACGGGGCTTTCGAAACCTGAAAGCGATTACCTGTCCATTCCGTATATCTGCTGCTTTCAAACTGGTCCGCTTTCCAGCACCTCGTTTGGATGTGCTGCTGTTCTCGAGTTCTGGCATCGCAATCTCCAGTTTTGACCATCCTTTTTCTAGGTCGTTCTTGTCCACCGTTATACCAAATTCAATTTCTGAAAAGTCTTCCGGTACGGGATCCCCATTGATCTCTTTGATCCCTCGCGATTGGAGAGCTTTGAGAAGCATCTCCTGGGTTGTCGCGATCGTCTCGTGAGGCGGAAGCATTAAAAGCACGGTAGTTTTGTGCTTCTTGAACAAAAGCGTCAAACTCAGAGGGTCCACCTGTGACTATAATATAGTGTCACATCAGCACAGTTTTAAGAATCCCACTGTTGTGCTCAAACTAATTACTTACCATGGTGGTCTTTGTTTTTGATTATGCGTGCTTGAAGAAGCTTGGTGGGACCTCGGATCTCTCAATCAGATAGATACAGACTCGGGAACTCGGAGTAGTTTAGTGCCTCCTTCAATCTCCAACCTACGCAAGAAAAGCTGCAAACGATCCAGAGCACCGCTCCAACTGGCGTCGATTGATTCGATTTAAAGACTGTCACAGATCTGTATAGGACAAGATCGCTCAGTTATCATATTCGACATCTGATTCTCCCTGCATCAACATGGACACCGATTCCCCGACCGAGACGCGCTCTTCCGAGCCTTCAACTTTATTGAAGATCCTCCACTGGGACAAGCTTTTCGAATCCGATACTCCTCCAAGATTAGGTATTGAGGTTGGGAAGAGACTGCCGTTTACAGCTTTGTCGGCATTCTCTGTTGGTATGGCAATCGGATCTTCGCATGGAAGCAAGAAGGCCGCATACCGTTTTCGCGCTGAAAATGCGCATCGCTTTCCGACCACATCGACGGGATGGTTTCAATACCACAAGACTAAAAATTACATAGCGATAGTCGGAGGCGTGAAAGAGGGTATGAAGATGGGACTTAAACTCAGTGCTGGTGCGCTTGCGTTCTGCCTTTTTGAAGAGACTGTGGACTATGCTCGGCACGACAGGAGGGATTTCCTCTCGACTGTCACGGCCGGACTATCATTTTCTGGCATTTACAGCTTGCTAGGTACAATCCCGCTTGGCCCAATGTAGCCATATGATAGGATGACAGCTAATTAAAGATATTCCATAGCCCGACACGACGTCTATACGGCTGCTCGCACAACGAAACTTGGCTTGAAATTGAGTCTGGCTTATGGGCTGATGCAGGATGCTCTTGAGTCTCTTAAGGGAAACCGTCCGGCCTATGTCGATTTCATCTTAGGTAACCGTGGGAGCAAAAGCGAGGATTGAGGCAAATTTGCAACTGAATCTTTCTGTCCTCTGGTGACGATTGTGAACTCAAGTTTCGACATGACTCATGACTTTCACACCGGCACATCACCCGCATATACCTTGATGGTCGACACAGAAGTGATGGCAGATGGACGCACAATTACAGACGCGGCTTGAATGCCAGACTTCCCTGATACTTAACTTCAGGCAGAAAGTGGGGCCTTTGATCGAGATCTACATCTCCCAAATCCGCAAAAAAATCACATTGCACAATGAGATTTGGTAGGATAACGATTCTGGATCGTTCCTCGATGATACCCTTCCTTTACCGGGCTAGAATGACAGCATTGAGGTTGAACTCAGCTGTGGCAGTCTGGCAGGCTTGGACTGTCGTCGCTGGGCAGCCTCGCAGCTGCTCCTTATTTTCAATCCACGGACCAGCAGTGAGGTACGAGACAAGACGCCTTCCCTTGGGGACAGAGTCATGTTTGTCCCACCAAGTACATCATCCACACTATGAGGGATTCGCACTCTCTAACTTTGATCTTTATGATTCTCAGGCTTTACCTAGCCTATGTACTCTCCTCAAGTCTCAGATTTAATACTGGTTTCGAGTCTGGAAGCATAATGTCCCACCCCTGGTGCTAGAACAAAGGGGACTATGTCTTTCGTAGTAGATAACATCAATGGCTTCGGCATTTCCTGCTAGTCGTGGGTACAAGTTAAGAACCTTGTAGAACTCCATAAATCAAGGGGTGACAACAGGTTGCAGATCTTACGGCTGCTCAGCTGGCCAAGCTACAAATGCTGAATAGGAGCTACCTGACCTAGCCAATTGTTAGGTGACATTATCGGTAGGCATGTAAGGGCTAAATACTCCATAGGCATCTTTGTTCTAGAACAGCAAGATACTGGAGTTCGGAGCTTCTGTGGGTGTCGCAATTTAATAATAATGATACGCATATGCATATCCACTGCATAACCAATTGAAAATACAACCTACAGACAATCACTTTAGACGTATGGAGTAGAGATACCTATAGTTTGTAAGTCTTAAAACAATGACTGCTTATTTCCACCGTTATTCGGGCAACCGCCGAATCCTTCTGTTGGACTAATAATTAGACCGTCTGAAAGCGAATGAAAGAAGAGTCTCAAAGCGCAGAGAAATGCCAACTAAGATGAAACAATCCTAAAATTCCTCACGTAGACTGAGCATCCTAATATCTAATCATATCTCAGTATCTACATACTAACTACTACCATTGGATGTGTAATTGGTATCGTTCTTTACCTATATTACCTGCTGATCCTACCTAGATTAGATAAATTCTGACCGCTGCTGTCGGCACTGTTCGATAGATAGCTGCGAGTACCCCACCACCGACATCTCTGGCAGTGTCGGCTCCCATATACATGGCCAATCTCCCGACTCAAATTGTTGTCCCGCATTTGCAGTACAAGGATCGATGATTCTTTCCCCTGCTGAGCATTACGCAATATTCTGTCTTGCATTCTCAGCCTCCTCAGCCTCTCCGTAATCATAGATTTCTATCCCTGTCGGATAGAAAATATTACCAACACCGGGGAAGACAGCTGAAGTAGTAGGTGTGCTTTACTGAATTAGTGGTGGAGCTCTACCACATTCCCACTATGATTTGACGGTGATCCCCGCTTTCATTAACATTTGGTATTATTCCGTTGGAACGGTTTCTGCCGTCCGCTAAGCACCTAGTACTAGTACCACCTGTGTGCTATGCTTCTTCCTTTGCGAAATTCTGGAAGTCGCTGAAAAGCTCCAGTTTCCATCTCATCGCTGCGTCCTCATTGTCGAAAACTTCACGACCTCAGATGTCGCGCCATTACTGACGCCCGTCGTTGCCATCCCCGCCCCCCCGGCGGTGCTTTTCTGAAGCTCCCGTGATCACTATTCTCGTCGACGTCATCGGCCCATTGATCGCTTCCCGGCGAACTATACGCTGCTTAATCGGACGACACAAGATCACATCTTTCTAGAGTCCGTATCCAATTCGCAAGACATTGCAACCCATTCATCATGCGGCGTCACGGCAGGGCTGGCGGAGGAACCAAGGCCGTCACGCCCGTCTCCGATACCGTCTCGTTGATACACTCATTCGACTCAGTCACAAATCCAAATCGGCCAGCACGACCGTCCCCGTTGGCATCCTCGCATATCAAAGCATTACCTCTGGACCTAATTGATCGACTACGTTCCTTTCCCCTGTTCGAATCCACGCCCGAATCGTTCCTAGTGGAGGTCGCACAGCATCTCCGCCCCCAGCTCAGTGCTCCGAATGATTATATCCTGACGGAGGGTGACGAGGCCAAGGCGATATACTGGTTGGTTCGGGGCGCTGTCTCAGTCACTTCTCGCGATGGCGAAAGTATCTATGCCGATCTGGAACCGGGCGCGTTCTTTGGCGAGATTGGGGTATTGATGGACCGGCCCCGAACAGCCACCATCATTGCTCGAACGCGATGTTTACTGGTCGTTCTGTCCAAAGAGGATTTCAGGAACATTCTTCCCCGATTTCCAGAGGTGGAACGAGCGATACGGGATGAGGCCCAGGAACGATTGATGATACTGGAGAAGAAGAAGAAGGAAACCTCAACACCTTCGGCTGACCTCACTGGCCCAGCTCGCAGAGGCTCGAAGAGACTAAGAGATTCGTCCTCTGGAGACCTATCACCTATCGAACGTGAAGGCACATCCTTGAGGGCTGGCAACAAAAAGCGCAAATCACCAAGCCCTGGAGTCGGTGTTGCAGATGCTTCTTCAAGTGCGCTGGCGAACGGGTCGGTGAATGTCCGCCTCTTGCTTAAGGAATTGCCTCTCTTCTCCAGCCTTCCCCCGGACATACTACACTTTCTAGGGCTCAATGCTCACCCACGATCGTACCCTCCGTTCACGGACATTATCCAACAAGACTCCCAGGGACGTGAAATTTATTTCATTGTGCGAGGCGAAGTTGAAGTTCTCACGGAAAGAACGGACGCGCACGACCGCCACTCTTTACCAACTACTATCGAGAAACCACCATTCGAAGTCAAAGCAAGACTCAAACAAGGGCAATACTTTGGAGAGGTTGTAAGTCTGTCGCTGGCACCCCGCAGGACAGCGACGGTACGCTCCGTTACTGCAGTCGAGTGCCTCATGCTTGGCGGCGATGTCCTCGCCGAATTCTGGGACAAGCTTCCCCAGAATGTCCGCCTGCAGGTCGAGAACACGGCCAAGGAGAGACTTCAGTCTGCGTCTGATGGTGACGTTGTAATGTCAGATGCAGAACGCGCTGATCAGCCCGCCGATGGGGAGTTTAAAGTCAGGGCTGCTCGGCGACAATCAATGCCGCTTTTGACACTCACAGAGACAGAGTTGGATAGCCCACGAGCTCCCAATGCCATGGAGGATCATAATGTGCTGAAGCCCTCAGATCCTGACCCTTTTCTGATAGTTGGCTTGGACAAGGTTCGACTACGCAGCCGGCGCGGGTCAGTCGCCCCGTTGACACCAGACGAGGTGTCTGGGGAGCAGCAGCGACAATCACCTCCATCTGGAACTCGTTCAACGAAATCATCTCTCTACTCCCTTTCCGAGACATCGAATTTGTCAACAGCACAGAAGGCACACCGCGAGTCACGCGGCGATAACGTCGGCATTCTACCGGACAATATACTCATCAGGATTTTCCAACACCTGGAGCTTCATGAACTCCTGCGCCTTCGAGCTGTCTCTCTGCACTGGTCTGCGATTCTTACCAAATCCGCTGAACTCGTTCGTTATCTTGATTTAAGCATATATAATCGCAAGCTTAGCGACGATGTTTTGGTCAAAATAATCTGCCCTTTTGTGGGAGAACGACCTCGCCACGTCGATATCAGTAATTGTTTCCACATCACCGACGAAGGCTTCCTGAAATTGGCGGCTACATGCGGTGCTAACGTCGTCACTTGGAAGATGAAAAGTGTCTGGGACGTTACTGCATCTGCCATTCTTGAGATGACTGGCAAAGCGACTGGTCTACAGGAAGTTGATTTGAGCAATTGTAGAAAAGTCGGGGACACACTGTTGGCTCGGATAATTGGCTGGGTTGCTCCTGGACAACAAAAGCCCAACGGCGAGACTGGAAAGGTGGGCAAAGCAGCTTTGAAACCCACCATGCAGACTGAAGCGGGCACTGTATATGGTTGTCCGCAACTGAAGAAATTGACACTGTCATACTGCAAACATGTCACGGATCGTTCGATGCACCATATTGCGTCGCACGCTGCCTCCAGAATCGAACAGATGGATTTGACCCGATGTACGACAATCACTGACCAAGGCTTCCAATACTGGGGAAATGCCCAATTTACCAGTTTGCGCAAACTCACTTTGGCGGACTGCACTTATCTCACCGACAACGCGATTGTCTACCTAACCAACGCAGCCAAACAGCTACAAGAACTGGATTTGGTAAGCTCATCACTGTTCACAAGCTATCTTGCAGAACCGCTAACCGTCAACAGTCGTTCTGCTGCGCTTTGTCAGACACAGCGACAGAAGTTCTCGCACTCCAATGCTCGCAGTTGACCTATCTCAACATGTCGTTCTGTGGGTCCGCGATCTCGGACCCTTCCCTACGCAGCATTGGACTCCACCTACTGAATCTCAAACGGCTATCAGTCCGTGGCTGCGTCCGGGTCACGGGTGTGGGCGTTGAAGCGGTCGCAGAGGGCTGCAATCAGCTGGAGTCGTTTGATGTCAGTCAGTGCAAAAACCTCCTTCCGTGGCTCGAAGACGACGGACCCCTCAGATACAAAGGCAGAATCAGCTTTGAGACCGTTGCGCAGAATGGACGAGTGTTTCGATAACCACCATCGCAACTGCGGCCCGTTCCTTGACATCCCTTCATTTTCGCGACCTTATAATCCACGGCTCAACTCACTTTGACGATATCTTATAATCCTTGAATGGGAATATATTGCCCTCGAACTGTCTATTATCTAATGCCTTTTCACCCCTCGCATTCTGGATCTAACCATCTTCCAAAATTTCATCGACCACCTCATCTCATACGATTTCACTATCAGTTTGCAGGATTTCTTCTCGTTTGGGTGCCCCGACCATTTTCTTGGATTCCCTTCTGTGCCACGATCAGTAACCGTACTGGAATCGTTCTATCAAGTATAACCAGTTATCAGCATCGCCCACGGTTTCCTTGGTTCCTTTGCATCGTTTCTCCATTTCATTGCCTTTACACTAGGACTCATTCTTTTTATTCGGTATAGGCTGCATAGGACTCCGGCGTGGGAGGAGTTTGATTGAGGGAAGAGCGTTTGGCAGCATTTTTTCTTACTGGGCTGGATTGGTGGCAAATTTCCTGTCATGTTTGATGATATTGTCAGTTTAGGGCCGTCATGCTGTAACCTAGAATGCTGTTCCTTGACTTCATTTTGGAGCTACGAACGGATTAATAGATGAATCTCAAACTTGCGTTTGCTTTCATGCTTCTTGAAGATCCCCTGGTTCTTGGTTTCAGCAATTCTTTGTTCATTGGATCAACAAATCTTCATTATCTTTTCTCAACACGGCATCGTTCTCTTTCATAACCGCTGTGCCAGTGCAAGCCAAGACAAAGGAAGAAAGTAAAGTGTAAGTCAGGGCCATTCAATGCTATTCGTTGAACATCAACATTTATCCTTTGTCACTGATGTAAAATTCAGGTTCAAAACAATGTAATCCTTCAGATTGCTCTTGCCTTGAAGAAGGCGATAGATCTCACAATGCTTCTTGTGGTTCATCACTTTTCAATATAATTTTATTACAATGACGATCGAAGGTCTTTGGCACTTTGTGAAGCTTGCAGGTCGAACCAGCAAAACTGATGTCTATTCTTGGCCTCTACAGTCTCCATAAGAGATTTTGAATGCTCCAGTCCCTTTGTTCAGTTTGACAATGTATGCTTCAGAATGCTTTGTTGCTATTATATCTGAAGAAGTGTCAACAATGAAGCCGATGTCTGGATTGCAAAGCAGAACCCCGTCAAGATGAGGTATAAGTACAGCTTTCTCTCTCTGCATCTGGAACTCTCCAACAGAAATCAGATCTATATTGAAATCAGCTATCGTCTCACTCACACTTCCTTTTCCTGCTTTATCCATTCACGACCAGTTCGAAGTACCAACCCCCCCACGGCTTTTGCACCAAGCGGACCTGCTAGCAGTAAGTACACTAGGACAAGATGTCTGGGAGAAAGCGGAGAATTGACGATGTCGATAACAGCGACAATGACAACCGGAAAAAACAAGCGAGAGTTTCAAACCTAGGCAGTGGAGCGAACAGTGGACAGTCCTCTTCAGTGTTGAACGCCGAAGCTGTTGCCAAAGCTCCGAACACGGCAGCTGCCGTTTCTAGCCAGGCTGTGAGTGGTGAGGCCCTTGGTACCAAAATCGCTCCCCCAGAAGCTGAGCCAAGCAGAGACAAAGGGAAACAGCGGCAAGAACAAGTGGAGGAAGCTAAAGAAGCCGCAAAAGAAGCGGGAATCTCAGTTGACCACAAAGAGTCCACTGCAGGACCTTCGACTGAACCAAGCAAGCAGCCCCGGGTGAAAAGGCAGCGTCGCAGAAAGACTGACCCAGTGCCAGACCCCGTGGAGAAGGCTCTTAGCAGGATTGAGAACAATCCTACCAAACGTACTGACAGAGCGTGTGACAATTGCAGAGTAAGTGATCAATAACCCTTCCTCCTCTATTTTTCGCTCCAACAGATGGAATAGATGAGTACGCAAGTGGATACCGTGAGTGGGATCCTCTTTCATTTTCCTCTTCATGCTATTTTGCTGAGCTGCATTCCTCCTATTGCCCAGTTCTCTGTTACATTGAGACTAACGACGGTCTTCTGTTCAGGTTCAGAAGTTGAAGTGCGATAACGACCCCGATGGCTGTGCACAATGTGTGAAAAGGAGCATGCAGTGCACATTGACTTTAGCAACCCAGAAGACCTATGTTCGGGGAGCTCCCCGGGAGACTGGACAGGCCCGAGATGGATTGAATCTTGAGGTTGAGAGGCTCCGCGCAGACGTTAACTTGCTGCAGCAAGATGTTGTCATGCTCCGGCGAGATATCCACCTGCTACGACAGGAGAATATGCAGTTACGTCGCGTGCTGGCCGGCTCTCAGACAGTGTTTCCTAACTACAATGTGGGTAACAACTCTTCTAACATATACCATTCTGTTATGCTGTCGAACAGCGTAATGAGATGTGCAGATGCTGACTTGAGACTAGCAATTTCCTTGGAATCCTCCTCCGGCTGGGCAAGCGCCTCCCCACGCCCCCTACGAAGTGCATCCTCAAGCCCAAGCGGCAAGCCAGGGAGCTGGCTACATGCCACTTCCTGTAAACTTTCCTCCGGCAGGACACGAAACACTCTATCCCGAGCTTCCCGCAAACCCTTCTTTGGCAGGGCAAGGAGCTGGCTACTTGCCATTTCCTGGAAACGCTCCTCTGGCAGGACCGGGAGCACTCTATCCCAAACTTCCCGCAAGCCCTCCTCCGGCAGGACAGGGAGCAGGCAATCCCGCACCTCCTCCAAACCTTCCCCTAATGAGACCAGGCCTTCTCAACTTTCCACCTGCTCCGAGCCTTCTTCCAGTAACACAAGAAGCTGCCAATTTCCTACCTGCTCCAACAACGCCTCCGCCGGGGCAAGGCTCTCCCTCCGTTCAATCTGGCGGCAGCAGTCCTTACCAGACATCTTCTGAGGCGAGTAAAGGTAATGATGACACCAACTTCGGTATTACTAACAGTGATCCAGCTTTCGCTAACCAAGTTGTTCCCCCAATGACCGAGCAGGGTGGTGGCCAACCAGCTCTGGGAGCACAGAAACCTGGTTACCAGGACACTATGGCCGATCCCACTGCGATGGGCGGTCTCGATGATGATTTTCTGGCAGGGTTTGTCGCTCAACCAGTTGATCTGAACGACCTCAATGTCTTCAATCTCTTCAATGCCTCCGATGGTGACAATGGCGACAACGGTAACAATGGTGGGGATCCCATAGACTTGTCAACGCTACCTGCTGACAGAGCTCGTCTCGCGCCCATCACCAAACAGCCGTCTCATCCCAGTGCTGCTAATGCTGTGGGCCCAGCGACAAACCCCTTAACAATTGACCCTGCACAACTTAACTTGCAACCAGTTGATTACCCGCAGGTTGGAAGTCCAACTACGACACTGGCAATGGAAGATGTTCTATGGAATTTACAAAATGGGAGAGACAATGAAGGTCTTCAGCCGAACTAACCAGCTGGTCTTGAGAATGCTGACAGCAGGACGAAGCAGCACAACTTATATGTGTACCTGAATACTGAGCAAGCCGGCGTTAGTGTTCAGCAATGACCAAAATGTCCAAGGAGACTTTGCCATTTGGAACGCTGTACTGCATGGTGATACCCTTGTGCACTTGATCTTCTTACCCTTTTACCTGACTCTGAGTCTAACTGCGTCGCATATCCTTTTGCTTAGACATGGTCGGCATTTGTTGATCGACATTGAGCGAGCTGCCCCTGATTGTTTCTCACTTTTAGATATGCCACATTTTCATAATTGTTCAGGCTGGGGATCGTTAGAAAATCCTAATGTGATTGACGATGCTATTTGCTTATAGTGTGGTGATAGTTACATGACACGTCTCATCTGCATCCTCTCCTTCCTATTCTGGAATTCTTCAGGAGTCCCCAAGTCCACATCTGCTCTCCCGTGACATTACCGTCCGTCGATGTTGCCTCCACTGTTTGCCAGGAGCCTACACAATACGGACTTCAATCTTGACTGGAGACGCATCTGAAGAAAGTACTTCTTCCTGAGAGATAAGCAGCCATAGCAACTTGTTCATGTAGACGACAAATAAGGCCAGTTTTCAAGAGTCAGTCATTTAAGGTGCTTTACAATGTTTGACATATGTACATCATCCCTTGCTTGCTGCTCTTGGGGAAGTGCACCGATCACATAGTACGTGTATCTCAATCAAATGCAAAGTATCATATCACAAAACGCTTCCAGAAAGTAGATACTGAATATCTGCCACAAGCGAAGACGGTAGCTGTTCAACCATCCAATCTGTATCCACCAGAAAACCATCACAGACTGATCTAATACCAGGTACGACCCATCCACGTCATCTCCCCTGAGGCCAAGGACTGCTCCTGAGCAGCACACTCCACACTCGCACCACCACACTTTCTATACATAGAAAACAATGCATCACCCTGAAGATCAAAGCAGGTGGCACAGATACATATAAATTCATTCCACTTGGGCGAGCATTCACCGAAGTACAAGTCCCCCCAAGCACACGCTCCTTCCTGACAGGCGTAGCTACTATCTTACAGTCATTCAACCACTCATCCACCATCCCACTCCAGTCACTCATTCTTTTCCCTTGATCTTAAGCATCCAGACAACATGAGATTCACAGTCCTTGCTGCTCTCGCCATCCTCGGCACTGCTTTGGCGGCTCCTACTGCGCTTACTACCTCCACAGCTACTGTATGCTGGAAAGGCCAAGAGCCATACATGATTGATTGGAATGAGAAAGATTGCTAATGCGGTGGCATAGATCCCGGCTGGTCAACCCTGCACGAAGAACGGAAGTATGGGCGTCTGCCAGAGCGGATACTGCTTGGTGAGTTACTCTACGTCCTCAGCTCTCAGGGGGCCCGAAGGCGAATCCTGATTGATACTCATGATATGGTGCAGCAAGATGAGAAGGCCTCTTCTGGAGTCTGCAAGTGAACGAAGAAAAGGATTCCCGTCGAAAACGGGCTTTCATTACAAGGAAGTTATATGTACCCCTTGAGAAGGCTGAAGCCATGTACTTTTAATCTATTTGGATCTAATTAAGAACCTGGGTATTATTATACCCCCCAAGAGGACATGGTCCATTTCTAGGTCACTGAGAGGATCTAGTATAATCGAATCTAGTAGAAATGACATGACGCCCACTTATGCTCGAACCAATCCCAGGGGTATCTTCCCAATTGCTGTATAGAAGTATGAAGAGACCAAAACTCCAGACCGACATGCATCGATATTGCGTAAAAGAGAAAAATATATTCCAGTGCTCGTCCCATAGCAGACGATGGCTACCGTTCAGACCGTCTGCTATTCTTTCTGAAACCGCAGCAGATGCCGTTGCTCTCGCACCACTGCCTCACAAACTCAGCACTGACTTCTCTGTCCTCATGGATAAGTCCCAGTCCCTCGACGTTGAGCCAGGTGGCAAAATCCTCTAGGACGATGGGATCGTACATCAGGATTTTCTCATGCCAGCTAGGGCGCTTGCAGTCAACGGAGAACGATCGTGGCTGCAATCGTACAGCCTTGGTTATCTGGCTGGCAAGATCTGGCAGACTAGACTCCGCTACAGAATCAGAAGGAAACGGTTTGGTGCCGGAGTCAGCATTTGTCCGCGTCGGACTGGATGGCATAGCTGAAACAGGCAGAGGCTGACTGCTCCTGCTTTCTGACATATGGCGCTTGTAACGACTCCGCAGCCGACTGGGAGATGGTATGAGCTCATCTTCCGAATCCTCAATTTCTTCCACATCTGCAAATGATGACTTCATCAACGCGTGACTTGATTCCGCAGCGGTGTGACTCGGTTTATCCTCCAGAGCTGTGTTCGGTTTCGCCTCTTCGGTGAGACATGCGCTCTCCTTTTCCACCTTTTTAGCTGCATCTGTCGTCGAGGTTTGCTTCTTTGTCTGCGATTGAATTGTGCTAGCCTTTCCCGTCGAGCCGTCGTCTGGTTTTCCTGGAACATCTTGAACGACGGTCGGTGTGCTCAAGTGTTGCGCCTCCCAGCATTTTTCAAGCACTTCAATCATCTTCCTGCGACTCTTCATCGGCTTGAACCCATACAACCCGACTTCTCTTGACAAATCAGAGTCCTTCCAATCAGCGAATCGTGGCATTGGGCGAATTTCCGATGCCCTGCAAGCGGTTTCCTCCGATTTATTTTCGCTAATTGTCAAGTTCTCCGTGTATATGTCGCCTCCCGCCTCAACTTCATCCGTGATCTTTACAGGCCGGAGAGGTCTTCCCTGAGGCACTGTGTTCTCCTCATCCTTTTCAGTCCTATCCTGTAGCTCACCATCGGGTCTCGGCGGAAGCTCGGAAATGTCGGAAACGTCTACCATATCCAGCACCTCAATTTCAGCTAGGGATCCATCCATATCTCTGGCTGCGACAGACCATAAATCTCTTGGAGTTTGGAAGCGCGATACTGCGGTACGAGGATATAACCCAGACTCTGCCCTTGTGGTCGAAGAAGGCTTGCCGTTTTCAATCATACTATTTTCTGATGCGCGTATTGCCTTTTGCATATCACTAAGCATCGTTGGCGAGTCTTCCCGCTCCAACTGACTGCACGTTCCGAACATCAAATCCTGTTCCTTCAAGTAATTGACGGCATCCTCAGGAGGGAGAACACATGAGTCGATGTCCAGCGATCTAGAGATAAATTTGCCTTCAGACAGGATGTTGTTGGTGACATCTTCTGAGGCTCTCATCACGGTGTCTGCTGCATCCAAGTAAACTGTACTATCCTTGGTGTATAGGGCTGTCACACGGCCAGTAAGAGTTGTGATCTTTCTGCTTCTTTTCCTCGGCTTCCCCTCGCCTGCTGAGGCTTTCGAGGATCGAGTGCTGCAGACATTTGAACGGTTGCTATCAACCTCCGGCGATGTCCGCTTAGAATTTGATGGGTTTCGAGTGTCTACAAGCTGCAAAAAGATCAGAATGCGCTGCAGGATGATGACAGCCATAGAACACCTACCTCTAGTCGCCTGCGCTTCGTTGGAGCGCCACCGTCAGAGAGTTTCAAGTCACCTTGAGAATCGGTGGCGGCTTTCAAAAAGCCATATTCCGATAGAAGGCTGCCGAAGCGAGTCTTATCGTTGTCAATATCAACCAATTCGACGGCTCGCTTGCCAGTATCCTTGGTAGGCGTCCAATCTAGCCTTCTCTTCATAGCTACTTCAAGTTGTAGGCCATCCTTCTCCAACTCCAGTTTGTTCGCAGAACTTTTTCCCGGTGAGACGTCCGATGTCACAAGTTCCTTGGTTTTATCTTCAGATTTGGCAGTCTCGGTAATGCCAGATTTCGCCACTTTCCCAGTGATCGTCTTGTTTTTGGACGTAGTACGCTTATTTGCAGCGTCTGTGCGCTTTTTCTTTGATCCTATCCCTTTCTTGGACGTGCATTCATTGTGTTTCGGTATGGGAGGTTCAGAATGGTCAAAAAGTGTCAGTGACTCGTTCGTAAATTGTTCTTTCGCGAGCATCTGTCTTCCCCCTCGAGCCGCCGTCTTTCTCCTCGATGCAGCCAAAGCTTTTGATTTCGTCCCTGTTTCAGACTCTTCTTTTGCAGTCCTCGACGAGCCGTCGTTTCCATCTTGAGCTTTGAAAAACTGCGAGCGCACGGGCGGTTGAAACAGCTCTGACGGAGAGGGCAAAGGCGAGGGGGACGAAGAGACCGGTGATAAGCCAAATACTTTCTCTGGATCACATTTTGGCTCTGCTGGAGAGTGAAAGGAAATCTGATCTGGCGAAGAAGAGAGAATGATTATGTCTGTAGCTGTATACATGGTGGCAAATGCGATCTGCGGCGAAGGACCGTACCCCGTCGGCAAGTCATTAGCCTGATTCAGAGTTAGAATCCAGAAAGATAATGTATTGTGCAGCTGCAAAGAGCAGCTCAGAAAATCATTGGTTAGTCCATTATTGAAACTGATGTCGCGAGCCTCAGGATGAATGAGAAGTGATGGAGCTGCAGGTTTGTCGAATGTCTTGGCGGTGCTGTGAAATTACCACTTTAGGTAGTTTTGATTGGTGGGCCGGGCAACGGGTCCATTTAGGAAGAACACGACCATTGCAGCTACGAAACTACAGGGGCACCATAAACCTCACAGAACACATCTGTATATCAGAATGGGCGAGATATAGTAAGTAATTTGTTTCAGTTTCGAGAACATGATATATTGTTGTCCATCGCAACATTAGTGAGCATTGGCGGACTCCTCAGTTTCCCATATCTGTTACGCGCAAATTGGCGCCAGCACCCAGATACTCTGTCTTGGGTAGTGTGCAATACGAATTCGTCACAAGGTCATATGTGGTGACAGGTAACAACGGACGCCGTGCTGAGATTGTCACCCAACTGCTTTAGGAGGGCAGTAAAAGGGTACTGATCCTGAAAGAACCTCGGGCACGGTCATAGTGCGTTCACGCAGGCCAATCCAAACGGCATGTAACTTGCTCTTGTAAGATTGAGCATTGCATGAAGATCTCCAAAGTGAGGTCATAGTTGTTGAGACAATAACAGCTTTGGATCACGTTGCCCCACGCAGAGCAATTGCACCTATGAGCGAAAGTTCCAGTCGTCGCTTCTCATCGTCCTGAGCGCCTAAAGCGCCCAGTTTGTAGGCTTTCTTAATCTTCGAAACGTCCGAGATTTCAGACAATGTCTCATCAGCGAACGGTACGGAAGAGCCCTCAATTGATTGCTGCAGATGCGCCGCTACTGACTCATGAGTAACATCTGGCGTTACGGAAACCTTCACCACCAACAGGTCTGCCGTCGAGTCCGAAATGCCGAATTTGCGGAAAGAGTCTGCAATCTGGTGTATTGTCAGTGATGCTCATGAAAAGCATATCGCTCGTCTGTGCAATTTGGAAACGCACATTGTTGGCGGGGCTCAAGGAGAAGACGATTTCCGAATGGACATTGCGCGACTTGAGACGCCCATTGAGATAATCATTAACCGCTCTGAAGATAGCAGAAAGGATATGGGTCCTTGAAAAGACCTTATTTCATTTCAGTATGCTTGCTCAAGTGCGCTTTCTTATGTGGTCCATACCATGCTTGCGTCAATAAACGCATACTCGAAATCACCATTGCCTGACAACAGCTGCTGCCGGAGAAATGGCGCGTTTTTCACATCACGATATAGAGCTATATGAATGGGCAGAGCTGAAGGCAGATGAGGAAGATGTATGGTCTCAAGGGACACAGTCATGGCGCGCACTCCCGTCTGAAATATTTATCGCAGATACGAAAATGTTGAAGCAACCAACTCAAGAGACTTTCTTTTCCTATGCTGCACTTTCTCAACTACAGCCTCAGATTGACCATTTAAAACGATCGCAGGAGATAATCAGTAACTCCGATTCCTCCGCGAGACAATTTCTCCCTGTGCCCCTCCCCCACCATGTCAGCAGTAGTAAGTAAGCTATAATCACGTGACTGCACTTCTCGAACGTTCGGACTCCTGTAGTGGATGCTGCCGGAGGTTGCTGATATCATCAGCGCTTTGCTTAAAAACACCATTGTCATCCCTCCTACTTTTTGAGCCATCACCGTCATTGCTCACCATCATAGCTCACATCATCATAGCTCACATCATCATAGATCTGGTACATTCATTCCAGTTATGGCGTTCTTTCTAAGGCGCCCCTTCGCCGTTCCAACGGCTCTTCGTCAAGCCCCCAAGGCTGCGAACACCGCTCGCTTCATCCACAACTCACCCATCAAGCCCGTTCAGTCGAAGCCTCTAGGTCCCTGCTCGTCCTCGATCTTCGCACAGTCCAGGCAGGCTTTCCGGAATGCCTTCCGGCGCACGTACATGCAGCCCTCTTACGGTACAGCTCAGCGTGGCTACCTCACCCAGCGCCTGCTCTACGGTGCGGCCATTGTGGGTGGCACTATCATGGCTACGAACTTCATCTTCAACCGTGAAACAAGAGAGGATGGCGGAATGCCTCACTACGAGCGAAGCTATCTGAATGAAACTTTCATGCACACCGGACTTGGTATTGGTATTATTGGTATCGCCGCTAGAGCTTTGCATATGAATGGATGGTCTTATCGTTTGATGGCCACCAACCCTTGGCTGGTTGCTGGTGTTGGTCTGGTTGCCAGCATGGGCACGATGTTCGGTACCTTCTACACTTCTCCTGATAAGTAAGTTTTTTTTGGGTGTCTTTTCTTCTTTATTGGGTGGTATACTGACGGATACTTAGCTACGTAATGAAGTATGGTCTCTGGGCTGCCTTCAACGTCACTCAGGCTGCGCTCCTCTCCCCTCTGATGTTCATGCACCCTGCTCTGCTCGCTCGGGCCGGTCTTTACACTGTTGGCATGATGGGTTCGATTGCGTTCGTCGGTGCCACCGCGAAGCAGGAGAAGTATCTCTACCTGGGTGCTCCTCTCCTCGCTGGTGTGACCATCGTTGCCCTTTCCGGCTTGGCTCCCCTCGTTATCCCCGCCACTGCCGCTCGTGCTCTGATGTGGTCCGAGAGGATTTGGTTGTACGGTGGTCTCGCTGTCTTCGGTGGCTTCACCCTTTATGACGTCCAGAAGGTCCTGCACCACGCTCGCTTGGCCGAAAGAGGACTTGTTCGCAGGGATGTCGTCAATGAGAGCATCAGCCTCGAGTTGGACTTCATCAACATCTTCGTCCGTATGGTGCAGATCTTGGCCATGCAGCGCAACAACCGGAAGTAAGCGTGATCTTGCTTTGAAGTGAAACCGCACCTAGCCCACATGGATCCAGCCAGAACAATAGTGCGAAGGGATCTGGTGTCTTCTGTCTCGGCATATTCAAGAGATTTCTTTTGTATGATAATTTGGTTTACTGTTGTTTAAGAACTTGTTTTAAGGGTATATGGTTTTCGGGGAGTTTTCTGCTTTGTGCACTGCTAACAGCCAGGCATGGCATTTGGTCGGCATACTATACCCTTTCTCTAGATCGGGTGTAGAAGGGTTTCACCACCGGAGTTTACACATTTTAGTATAGCTAGAATTAGTGGAAAGACAATCTCCACTCATATTAAGTTACATTAAGAAAAGGAGAAAAGCAATCTGCGGGCTACTCATTCTGTGCTAGATGAAATGTGGTAAGAGGCTGCCTTGGGTACATCACACCTAGATTGATTTGAAAGATCATATAACAAGTGCCTTCAGAGTCAACACCGAAAGGTCAATACCATGACATCAAACATGAAACCATACAACCGATCAACAGTACGCTCAAGGTAGGCCGATTTAAGAGCCTGCCACCCGGGGATTGCATCGTGTTCTTTTTTAGAGTAAGATATGTGGTTCCATTCGACCTCCCATATCCGCATAGACCACTTCCTTCCATCATGTCGGCGGGAAAAAGGACCCGAGGCTCGCCCTTATCCATGCTGACCTTGAGAAGACCCATATCATTAACCGAGTAGTTGGCGCAACTGAGCACATCCATGACCACAAATCCAGGTTGGTAGCCTATTGGCATGTCCAGATCATATTTGCCGCTGTTCGTGCCTTGAGTTGACAAGACCATCACGAGTTGCCGGCCCTCGACGCCTTTGCGGAAGCCCATCTCGCTAGATCCTGTGTATATGGGGAAGGTCTGCGAGTTTACATACGCTGAATCGATTTGGGCTGCATGCTTGCGGATTCTGTTCAGTTTCGTGGCTAGTTGGTAAAGCGGCGCGTTGGTGTCGTAACCAGACAGCCATAAGGCTTCGCGGTTCTCCGGGTCGTTGGCGCCTGAGAAATGTTGTTCTTGCCCTTGGTAAATCATCGGTATGCCATCGAAGAGCATCGTGAATGTTAGAACGTTCTTAGCGAGCTGCGCCAGTGTTAGTCTATCATCGGTTGATACTGGACAGGGTAACTTGAGTCGATGCCTTACTGCGATGTCATCCTTGAAGCTTGCAAATCGGGCGACGTCGTGGTTTTCCGAGAACGAAGTTAGGGCCGTGACATCAGAACATGTCTGTTTCATGACCTCTACCTGATTGGTCAGAGAGCTTGTGTTGCCTTTCGTGAATGCCTCCAAGATGGAAAAATAGATGGGATAATTCGGGACGCTGGGGAGGTCATTTTGATATCCGCAGATCGTCTTCACGGATGGCTCGAAAACTTCTCCAGTAATGAAAGCACCAGAAGCATTATGGAACAAGGGCAGGAAGCTTGGTGTAACATGCTTCGCTGCATCCAGACGTAGACCATCTATTGAATACGTAGACATCATTTTTTTAATCCAGTCCATGAGCATGCTCTGAACTTGGCTATCTTCTGTCTTTAGATCTGGAAGCGGAACAACATCATCACCTGTCCAGCAAGTCTGTGCCAATGGATAGTTGTCATAGTCGGTGATCTTGCAATATGGATGAAAGAACATTGCGTCATTGAATGGGCTGAGCGTTGAATAGTCAATGCTCGTTGCCGGGTTTCGTCCGTTGGTGATGTACGCCATGTTGTTGATGACAGTATCTACCATCAAATACATGCCCCGGTCATGAACAGCCTTGCTCAAGTCTAGCAGGTCCTGGTGAGTGCCAAAGTGTGGGTTTAGCGCATACATGTCCTGGACCCAGTAGCCATGATAGGCTTCTCCGTACTGCACGCGTCCCTCGATATTCTGAACGATCGGGGAGATCATGATGGCGTCGAATCCCATTCCTTGAATGTAATCGAGGTGCTGAATTGTGCCTCTCCATGAACCACCGCAGCGTAGCCCTTCTGTGGTGTTGCATGGATGAGTGGTGGACCCATCCGTACGTGCAAATCTGTCTGTCATGGTCTGATAAACAGACCGGGACTTCCATTCACTTGTATCTGCAGCCAAGGATGACGCGAGCAGATCAAGCCCTGCAGTGATGCAAAGCCACTGCAGGATTCGCAAAGAGTACGGCATTGCAGTAGAGATGGTCGGTTCAGGCAAGAGAGCGCCGGGATGGAATTACAATAGGATGAATAACAATGGCAAAATGAAAGAATGTAGTAAGCAGAATCGCGACTACAGGACCAAGTCTCTCTCCATGTAGCTGCCGAGAAAATTTTTTTGTATGGTTCAGTAACCTGCCGAACCCATGAGATCGTAGGGCTAAATCAGTATCGGAACGATTGTAGCAGCACTCTTGTAGGGAGCAATGACTCAAGATAGAAAGGAATGTATGGCCGAATCCGTCATTGACCACGCCAGCAACCAGGGACAAGGATTAACGAAGGACGGTCCTAAATTGATACCATGGAATGAAGCATCTACCAATGGCAGACGCAGTGCCCAAAGAGCGAATGTGTTGTGTTCTCTGAACAAGTGACTGAGAAGCAATGAGTGGATAGAAGAGAGACGTATTCAAAGCCTCATGAAATCGTGAAGAGAGCGACTGAGACTGGAAGGGAAACATAGGACAGTAAGCTGAAAGTCATCTTGGGGAAGTAAAGAGTGGTAAGGCGAGGAGGAAGGGAGGAAATGAATCGAGGCAAGTGAGTGTCTGTGCCTTATTCTTCCTGCATAGAAAGAGTTAAATTGCATCTCTATCTGCTCTTGAGTTCCGGGGTATAGGAGACCTTCCATTTGCTGTTTAGCATCTGTCAATGATTTGTACACTCTTGAGTCAAATGATTCTTCCCCCTGCATCCCCCCCTTTTGAGTCTCCTATCAACTACATAAATTAACACGCTCGAGGAGACAAGGGATATTCTGTCGGAATAGCTCGCGGACTTTATATCAGCCAACCAAGCATAATCCCATTGTGTCAGCAACGATTAGCTTGAAAGCCGAAGCGCCGCCGGACTGAGGATATCGGTGCTCTTTTTAGTTTCCTTTTGCAAGCAGACGTTGGCACCGGATACTCGACAGGAGAGAGCATTTAGGCGTTTTGCTCGAGGCTCAGAGCATAGCTTCACAACATGAAAGCCCCTTAGAAGAAAGAACAGCCTAACTGGGGCTACAACAGGTATTTCGCAACCCTGTAGACCAAGATATTGAACAGATGATTACAGAAACATCAATTGTCAGATCGTCATACTCATTGCAAGTTGTCTTAGAGTTAGTTCAAAACATGCAAGGGCGGCATCAACAAAGGGAGGAAAGGGGGAGACACCAACGCTCTTAATCATCTTTTCATAAAATCGTATACTACAGCGTCCAGTAAGCATACGAATAAGTGCATTATGGGCGTTCGGCTTAAGTAGTAGCTAAATGGAGCTGAGATGCAAATGTGCGGGATCCTGGTGGTG